ATATATGTAGAAACAGACGGAAGCTAAAATATCCCTCTTTTTTTTTTTTTTTTTTTTGCTTTCTTTCGATTACCAGGTTAGGTCTCAGCAAGGAATTGCTTTCAGCCTGTGCAGTTCTTCAGAAATACTTAGAGAGTCCCAATCCACAAATGGATGGAGAGACGGTATATGTTTATTTCTAAAGTTGGGGTGGATTTAGAGATAAAATGGCCTCTGCTGATACCTTGCCCATTTGCCAGAAGATAATAAGCAATGAAAATACTGAAAAAGCACAAAGGATTCAGTCATGAAGACAGCAAGCAAAAATGGGCCCTAACAATTTCTTACCTACCTCCCCTGTTATTTCTTTTTCTTATATGTACTCTGGCAGAAAATAGCCTATACCTCAATGCTCCACTATTGGCTCAAGCTATCCTGCCACAAAGAAGCCGACCTAGAGTTGATCTCACTGCACTTGATGGATTTCCGGGCTGTTTCCCCGCAGTTGCTAGAATTCATCATCAATATGGCGGATGCCAATGGCAACACAGCTTTGCATTACACAGTCTCGCATTCCAACTTCCCCCTTGTTGCAAAGCTGCTTGAAACTGGTAGGTGGGGACAAAAGAAAGGGGAGGGAGCCCTTTGTCAGAATAGCCCACATAAATGAACAGCAATATTAGTCCAGGGCAGTCCATTTGCCAGGGTACTTTGGGTTCTAGAGCCTAGGGTGACTTTAAAGCCACAGGAGCCTGTGAAGCAGTCTTGGATCCAAAGATGTCTTTTGAAATAAATATGAAGCAATTGGTTGGCATTTTGCCTCACCATGTATTTGCTTTTCTCTTCATGTTTTAAATTAGGAGAATGTTTTTTTAAAAAATTAAATGATGCAGAAAACCTGCTGTGCACCAAGGAACCTTCTGCAGGCACCCTGTGGCGTGCACTGGTTTTGTATTAAGGCTTGCACCTGGATTTATTTGCATTCAACATACTTCCATCCTCCATGGAATTTAGACTTGAACTTAGCACTGACAATCACCCTATGAAGTAAAAGAGGTTGAAGGGAAAGAAACTCATCAAGACCACTCATTGTGAATGTTTAAGGCTGAATGCCCCAATTCACAGACCAATGCTCTGGCCACAGCAGCACCCCAGTCTATCAGTAAGAAGCTGGATGGCTGAGACTTAATGACTGGTTGCTTAGTGACTGTTCAAAGTTACAATGGATCTTGCTAAAGGCAGTGAAATCCAGAAAAAATGCCTATTAGAGAAAATGGGTTTGTTTAACAACCACTGCATTCACTTAATGACTGTGGCATTTGCTTAATGATTGCAGTGTTCATTTAACAACTGCTGCCAAATAGGTCATAAAATTGAGCACAGTCACATGGTGATGCGCTCAGAAACTGCCCCAAATTATGTCCACAATTCTGGGCTTGATTATGGTCATAGGTTGAGAGGACTACTTGTACGAAGATGCCCCTGACCAAATACAGTAAACTGAAAGACAAAAAGGATAAGTAAAGAAATGGAAAGAGGGACACATAACTAAGGTCAAGTATCAGCAGTTAGCCCGAATCTGCAAAGATGAAGTCAGGAAAGCAAAGGATCAGAATGAATAAAGACTTGCAACAAAAATCAAAGATAATTTTTTAAAAAGTTTATTTCAACATATAAATAACAAAAAAAAGTCAAGGAAACAATTGATTCACTAAAGAGAGAAGATGGCAAGGAAGTAACAGGCAGTAGAGAGAAAGCAGAGCTGCTTAACTCATTCTTTGCATTAGTCTTCATGCAAAAACAAACTATAGCCCAACCTACCAAAAACATAGCTGTAAAAGACATAGAAATAAAAATTAAACTAAGCCAGAAAATGGTAAAAGAACACCTATCTGATCTTGATGAATATAAATCACCAGGACCTGACCGGATTATATCCCAGAGTTCTGAAGGAGCTGTCAGATGTTATCCAGAACCATTGTACCATATCTTTAAAAAAAATCCTGCAATACTGGAGAACTACCAGAAGACTGGGAAAAAACTGATGTCAACTAGCCCAAAAGAGAAAAAGACTCCAGCACCTCCCCACCAGTAATCAGCACTCAGATCAGCATAGATTAACTCCAAGGTCAACTTCAGACCAACAATCAAATAAACAATACCCCAATCAAGAACTGCCAAAGAGCCATTAGTAAACAGCCCAACCAAAGAATCCTTAAGACTGCCTCGAACCACCCAGACAGGCAAGACTCAGAATATAAACTGACAGCAAATAGCACTGCTTACTAGCACTGATGATGTTATCCAGTTAGGGCAGAAGTCACCAAACTTTTCATGCTGGCGACTAGGAGGGAAAGCGAGCAGCTGTGAAATTTGCACAGATGCGCACAAATGGGGCTGTGCACACCTACACGGGGCTAGCAGCCTTGTTTGCACATGCAACCTGTGCACGCTAGTGACCCTGTTTGCATGTGTGTGCAGGTGCTAGCCACTGCCGCTGCTAGCCCCTCACACATGCACAAACGGGTCTGCGGGCTCTAGCACAAGTGGGGGTGAGTGCGCGCTCACACGTGCGTGCACTGGCCAGCTTGTCCCATGGCCCGGTGGCCAGTAGGCCACAGCAACCTATGGTAGGTTGGGGACCCATGAGTTAGGGTAATGAAATGTTTGCAAGAAAACAAGCAAGCTCAGAGAGCACCAAGGACCCCTCAATACAATCCTTGGTTGTATAAACAGAGGCATAGAATCAAAATCACATGAAGTAGTAGTACTGCATTATAAAGCCTTAGTAAGACCATGCTAGGAATATTGCATCCAGTTTTGGTCACCACATTATAAAAAAGATGCTAAGACTTTGGAAAAAATGCAAAGAAGAGCAACTAAGATGATTAAAGGCCTGGAGACTAAAACATGAAGAACATTTGCTGGACTTGGATATGGCCAGTCTAGAGAAAAGAAGAACTAGGGGTGACAGCCACCTATCTGAAATGGTATAGGGTCTCCTGCTTGAGCAATGGGTTGGACTAGAAGACCTCCATGTTCCCTTCCTGCTCTATTCTGATTGATTGATATCTAGAAGATGGTTATAAGAAGGCCAACTATTTGGGAAACCCAGAGGAAAGATGTAGGGTTATGTCAGGAGGGCACTATTCCTACCTAAAACCTACACCTCTCCACACACTTAAATAATTTTTTGCATATTTCTCTGATGTTACCAATTGTTTGGTATATATTTCTCTATGTGAAATGTACTATCATATTTGATCTTCCTTAAAATGTCCTTACCATGTTTGGGTTCAAAATAGAGGTTTCATAGATTTTTGACCAAAGGAAGATAGATAATGGTGGGCTCTCTCCAGTAACTTCCCTGTTTATGATATCTCTTTCCTTAGAGACATTATAAAAAAATTTTACCACTGCTTCCCAGCAGCTTACTTGAAATTGTGGAAGCCACCATATCCAAATATTTATTTCCAGAAGAATGAAATTTCTAATGCTGTCTTGCTATTCTAGATTTATGTCATGTGGACCAACAGAACAAAGCTGGCTATACAGCCATCATGCTCACAGCGCTGGCTGCCTCCCAGACAGAGAGTGACATGGAGACTATTGTGCAGCTACTGAAAAAGGGCAATGTGAATGCCAAAGCCAGTCAGGTACTAACAGTCCCAAGAGATTCTTGCAAAATTGGGGGGCCACGATGAGGATGAGGATGATGGTGACAACCAGGAAGTAGTAATCATACTCTCACATGAGTGCATGGAAATTGTTCAAAATCTTTTAAAATGCTATTAACTGGCTGCAGTAGATATACAAAATCTTAACAACGTTTGTGCTTCTTCAATATTTCAGTTTGTTCATGGTTTTTAAGAGCTAGGCATTGCAACAGGCTTTTCCCTACTCTGAATTTTGCAGCCTCTTAACTCCTTTGGTTTCCTTCAACACTCCTACAGGCTGGGCAGACTGCATTGATGTTAGCTGTCAGCCATGGACGTCTCGAGATGGTCCGTGCCTTGTTAGCAAGTGCCGCAGATGTCAACTTGCAAGATGATGATGGCTCTACTGCACTGATGTGTGCCTGTGAACACGGCCATGCTGAGATTGTCCGCCTGCTGTTGGCTACCCCTGGGTGTGATGTTGCCCAATCAGACAATGTAAGTCCTGCTTATGTTTATGCTGCCGTTGTTGAGTTTGTTAGGTTGTCTTCCATCTCAGAGCTCATAGCAAAAACTCTGCACAATAAATTTCATTCAGTTCACCAGGAAAATAATGAGTCATACTTAGTGCCAAAGTTTAGTACTGGACTATTTGAAACAATTAGTAATTATTTCTCATCATTGAGTAACTGCAGCTCAATCTTAGGAAAGAAAAAGAGAAGGAGGCAGGGCATATTGGGAATAATATCATCAAGACATTATGTCCTTCCACATTAGGCTGTTAAATTCAAATAATTCTACTCTAACATTCCACACACACACCAACCTCCTTGATCCTATGTTTGACTGAGCCTTCTGCTATAATTTACCATAGTTTTCCTATTATTTAAGTATGTGATTGAAAAATGAGTATTGTGTAGCTGATCAGAAAATGAGTATTATGTGCACATTGCCAACAGCACAATGTCAGACAATTGTTTGTCATTACATGCAGAGGGTAGAGGGGATGATTCTCTTGTCTTTGGGTGAACATTAGGAATGATGGGCACCACATAAATCAAATCAATCAATCAACCAATGTTCCAGTTTGCACTGTTGGAGAATGGTAATTTATTTTATTTGTTGCATTAATCTATTGTCAGGGAGCTCAAGATGGCATACATTAGGGGTACTTCCTAATTTTACAATCACAATCTTGTAAAGTAGATCGAGTGAGAAGAAATGATTGGCTTGGAGTCAAACAACTATAGTAAAGAACCTGGTCTCTCTGATGGCCATACCTGGACCATTACCCTGTATTAACAATTCAAAGATCTGGATGACTCAGTCCCAGGTACTATTTCCTGCAATTCCAGGAAGTGGGTGGGCCACCAAAATAAGGACAATTCCTCCTTGACAAAAACAGTGATCCCCATAAGCCCCACCATCACTGCAGCCTTAAGTCTATCTTCTTGCCTTCTTCTGTAGGATGGCAGCACAGCTCTCTCCATCGCACTAGAAGCAGGCCAGAATGACATTGCCGTCATGTTGTATGCTTACCTGAACTTTGCCAAAGCCATGTCACTGGTGAGTTCGCCCTATAAGTGTAAAAGCATCTGTCGTAAAATTACTTGTAAGCCATTTTCTCTTGAAATCCAGGAAACTTCAAGATAGAGCATTCCCAATAGATGGCTATCCAGTTTTTCTTTAAGAATCTCTGTCAAAGCCTGTAAGGAATGGCTTCTTCTGTTCTTCCTAGTTTTCAACCAAAGTCTGTCTCTTGTAATTGAAGCCCATTAGAACATGCTTCCTCAACCAAGAAAAAAAATGTTTGCCCTCTTTGGTGTGGTAGTGCTAGAAAGGGCAAACTTTTTTCTAAGCTAAAGAGTTTCTTTAAGCTTTGCTCATAAGACTTTTTTCCATAATCCTAACCATACTTGGTGATGTCCTCTTTCAAATGGTCTACAGCCTTTTTTAACCACAAAGATAACAGCCACATAATTCCAGAGAAAAACAGGTTTCAGGCAGAATAAACTTCTTATGACTAAGAAATGATTCTAGTAATGCAATTACAATTTGGTGCAGCCTTAATGCATCAAACTAGAAACTGGAAGATCATGAATACTACTCCATCTTGGTCACAAAGTCAGCTGGGTGACCTTGGACCAGTCACTTTCTCTCATCCTTTGGAAGGAGGCAACGGCAAATCACTTCTGAAAACTCTTGCCAAGCAATCTGCAGGGACTTGTCCAGGCAGTTTCTGAGAATGGGACATGACCGAAAGAAAGAAAAAAATAATATTAGGTGGCCCTATGCAGTATTAATGTAATATTAATTTTTGTAATAGAAATACAAGCAAGGCAGAATTGGAACAACATGATTCAGAGTCCCTGGGGGAGACTGACATGGCATTTGGTGATAATAACAGAGGATGGGTAACTTTTCTATGGATTTAGTTTTTTTAAAAAAATAAGTTTGTTGATGTTTGAGAACTGCATAAAGCAGTGTTTCTCAACCTTGACAATTTTAAGGCACGTGGACTTCAACTCCCAGAATTCCACAGCCAGCATTGCTGGCTGTGGAATTCTGGGAGTTGAAGTCCACATGCCTTAAAATTGTCAAGGTTGAGAAACACTGGCATAAAGCATAACCATGATGCTATGACATCACTAAGAAGATGGATCAGATTCCTTTTTTTTACTTTTTCCCATTTTGGAGAGTTTAACATGCCCTTTTTGGTGAAAATCAGAGGAGAATCTGGTTACCTGACAACTCCCAACAGTTTTCAGTGAAGTGACAAGGGAGGATGGGCACCTACAACTGCATCAAGAGAATTCTAGGATCTTATTTAATCCATTTTGCCATATGCCCTCAGGGCAAGTTGCTTATCCTTCTGTGATTCCTATATTTCAATCTGCAAATTGAGTATAATTATAATCCACCCCTAATTGCTGCTAGGCTCAACATGGAGTGGTAAGTGAGCAAGGGATCTGTGCATATTGATTCCCATAGACTGCTGGGTTTGTAAAGCTGTTGTCAGATAAGGGAAAGATTGATTAAAAACAACACAACATGCTAAACAAGGTCAGAAAACTGTGGCTTTTTCATTAAGAAGCAATAATGAGGTACTTTTTTTCAGGATACCTTGAAGCAGCTGGAGCCTGAAAATGCAGATACGATATTCAGTGATACTCTGTAACCCAAAGTAAGATGATAGATTTATTTTTATCCAAAGGTTTTCTAACTTCTGCTTGAAAATTTGGCACAGTCTGGATGAAGGAAATATATATCTACAAAACCATGCATATTGCCGATGTATACAATTCCCTAGAATTGCTTCCTGTCCTTAGCTTCTTTCACTGCCTTCATCAGCTGAAATCTCACCATCCGCTCTGCTCAGAGGGAAGGGGAGCAGACCTTCCAGGAGAAGGAACTTTATGAGCTTCATTACAACAATGTGGCCATGTATCCAGCTATGCTTGATCAGATGCAGTTATGTCATATAATGAGCCAAGGGGTCTCTTAATGTTGCTATGGCCTTTCTGCTTTATCAAAACTAATGTGTCTTTCCTTTTTATCCCAATTATTCAAGAAGCAGGAGACACTGTAGGGCAGGGGTGTCAAACTGCCGGCCCACGGGCCGGATACATCATAGCGAAACCGTGCCAACCGCATTGCTGACAATGGAAAAAAGTTGCGATACATCGCGACACATCACGTGATGTTGTGAGTTTGACACCCCTGCTGTAGGGCATAAAAGGAGGCCAAAAGGAACAATTGCAGTTCCCCTCCCCAAACCTTCAAAAGTAGTTTGACTGAGATCCACAGGCATTGGCCTAGCTGCCAAATTCAAACTGCTCCATACTTCCTTCTATTGACCAATAAGAAGGTGCAAAAACTATTCAATCAGTGCCCACACCTCCATGTTTTTACTTCTCCTTCTGTGAATTCCTCTGGTGGTTTCTCAAAAAACTGACAGTTTGCTGTGTGGGGAACTGCAAAGCCTCCAAAGACCTGTGAAGTAATAGTTTCTGAGCACAATGTGATAGCAGGTAAATAGTGAGAGATGGTGGCTTGATCCAAGAAAAAAAATCATAGTGTTTTGGTGCTTCAAAAGGGAAAAATCAGCATTAGAGCAGCTCAGATTGACCAAAGCTGAGTGGAAAATAAATCAGCCCAGCTGCCCAAATTGAGGCACCAATGGAGCTGATTCTTGAGCAAAACAAATTGCCAAGAACTTGATTAGTTTAGTGTTTCCATTCCGTTGTAGAGAGACCCAGTAGACTTTAGATCTATACCTCTATATGAACTTCCTTTGCAGCAGCCAAAAAAGTCAATGCAATCCTAGGCTGCATTAATAGAGGGATAGAATCAAGATCACATGAAGTTCTAGTACTGAATTTAGTAAGACCACACTTGGAATACTGCATCCAGTTCTGGTCACCACAATATAAAAAAGACATTGAGACTATGGAAAAAGTACAGAGAAGAGCAACCAGCAACATGATTAGCAGGATGGAGGCTAAAACATATGAAGAACAGTTGCAGGAATTGGGTATGTCTAGTCTAGAGAAAAGAAGGACTAGGGGAGACATGATAGCAATGTTCCAATATTTGAGGGGCTCCTACAAAGACAAGGGGATCAAACTATTTTCCAAAGGCAAGACAAGAAACAATGGATGGAAACTAACCTAGGAGAGAAGCAACCTAGAGCTAAGAAGAAATTTACTAATGGTGAGAGTGATCAATCAATGGAATAACTTCCTTTCAGAAGTTGTGGGTGCTCCATCACTGGAGGCTTTCAAAAGAGACTGGACAGACATTTGTTTGAAATAGTATAGGGTCTCCTGCTTGAGCAGTGGGTTGGACTAAAAGACCTCCAAGGTCCCTTCCAACTCTGTTATTCTATGATTCTATGACTTATTCCTGTTCCATTGCAAAAAGGGCAAAATATTTTAAAGAGGCCAATGAAGGAGTGTCTCTCTAAATCAACTCCATAGAAAATCCTTTTGTTTTCTGTTTTAAAGGTATGGAACTTCTGTATTTAATTTACCTGAATTAATTTTTGAAATGTCTAACCCTGTGTAAAGCAGAAATTATTTTTTATTACAATGCAAAATCACAAAATAAGCAATGTTTAAATAGATCTAAAATAAGTATTTGACACTGAATTTTAAGATTTTATAAATTTGTCAAAATATTTGTATGATAAATTTATCACTGCTCATACAATGCAAGTCGTAAAAGAATCACAGAACAAATATATGCTATACATAACAAATACATACCCACTCCCAGGATTATAGCTATTTTTGGTATATGTATATGTATATATTTGTATCATTTTTTAAAAAAATATAAAAATATATAAAGGTAGTGTTGTGCAAGGACACTTGTTGTGCAAGGATGCTTACACAGCTCTTATTTATTTGAACAAAGTTTGCACAGGAGATTTTCTCCCAGTAAATTGGACCCTTAGCCTAAAATAAAGACTAACTATCCTTGTGAATTGCTTTGTTCAGTCAGATTTACTGAAAATGAGCATTTTCGATACAAGAACAATATGTAATTGATATTATTTGCCTGAATAATGAAATCAGTATTAGAAATTAGGCAAATCCATCCTCTTGTTGAAAGAATCAAGCTGATGAAAATTTATATTCCATTTGCTTTGCAAGCTGAGAAGTCTACTTAATTCTTTGTGTGTGATGCCAAACTTTACATGTCTCTCCTAGCAAGAAGTAAATAAACAAAATGAACCATAGTGATTTTTGTAATTGTAAATCATTTGAAGTAATAAAGGGCACGTCTTATTTTTATATCAATATATAGTAATATACACCAAGAAAATGATTATCTGTAAAGTATTCCAATGCACATTACATGAGGGTTTTTTTTAAAACAAAAACAAAAACAGAAGACTATGTCCAAAATGTAGGAAAGAGGCTGGGAGAACTGTTGTCTGAGCTGCAAATCATCTGGCTGACACTTTGCACAATTTATATTCTGCTTTGTGTAAAAGTTATTAGAAACAAGTTGGGGTTTGACTGAAGTTGGCTGGTTTTTCTGTGATTCTGAATTACATAAATGGTACAAGGATTTCTTAACATTCATTATCTGCTGCTGCTTTGAAACAGAATTTTAAAGGCAACAATGGAGGTTTCAGAAACTTCAGAAATGCACATATTTAGGAGTGAATCTGAATATTGTATTGAGTTATTGCTTATATACATGTAATCTTTTATATTTTCTATATGATATTTTCTATACATTTAAATGAACTTGATGTCATTTATATAGGTCATAATAAAAATATAATAGAGAAATCTCTTTGCTTCTTGATTACAGCTACATGAAAAAAAACCCTTTCCATCAGAAATAAAACCCACCCAAATTCAGATTTCTATCAGATGTTTATTTATGGAGTAAAGAGGTAATTCTTCCAAAGGGCACAATCCACCTTATGGGGAGCAGGGCCTGCCTGCAGCAAATGCCCAAATTGCCATTCCTCTAATACCTTCTGCAGCATCCACATTCATCAGAGTGGATCACTACAGAGAGCCCATAGGTTGCCCTCCCTAGTATTCCCCTCCTCTCCTTCTGCTGACCTGAGTCTTTGGAAGAGATACAGTGGAGTAGAGGTAAATCCAGTTCCAAGCAAACTTTCTGAACCTTAAATTGGACTGTGGGCATGTATGGATCCATGCCTTGTCTTCTTTTAATGTTTTGGGGGACTGTGTACACAGACCTGGCTTTATGAATCATGATACAGATGCCTAATGAAAAAATAATTTAATAAAAATATCTTGGAGTTATATTTATTATTTGGTTTGCAAATGATGCTATCATGTGATGAAATAGTAAAGGGCT